TATATGTAGATTCCTGTATTCGGTTCCCCCTTTCTGCCCCATCCTCCCTCTACCCTCTAAGTATCGCCACTCTCAGCACTGAAGGGATCGTCTGTCCTGGATTCCCTGTGTTTCCAGTTGCTATCTGTACCAGTGTACATCTTCTGGTCTAGCCAGATTTGTAAGGTACAATTGGGGTCATGATTGTGGGGGGAAGCATTTAGGAATTTGTTCTTGCCAAGTCTTACCTTGGATACTGTGACTTACATAATGGTCCCTTGCCATTTCTAAATTTTGTGACCTGATAATGTGTGCTTACCCTCCGGACTACACCTCTTTACATTCGTGTTAGGAGAAGTTGACTAGAGAAACAAATTTAGTGGTATTCATATGTGTAAGAAAGATCTTTATATCAAGAAGTAAAAATATAACAAGAAAGGGTCCCAGCCCAGTTCAACTCAAGTCCATAAGTCCGATATTAGTCTGCAAGTCTCTCTTCAGAGTCGCATAGCCATATGCAATGACGCAGAATGATCACAGAGCGGTGGAAACATGGCAGGGCGCAGGCAGGAAGGCCAAGGGGGAGAGACAGAGAAGGTGGGCCCCAGGGTGCCAGCTCATAAGAAAGCCACACATCCCAGGACACAGCATCAGGCTGTGACCTGATTGACAGGTTTGACTCCACCCCTAAGAGTGTCTAGTTGACATAAAATCACCAAACTCCCATAATCTCATTGTTACCCTGGTCTTCAAGAGTATCCCTTTTCCTCTGCTTCTTACAGGTTGGTTTTGCTTGTTGAGAGACATCTTAACAAATGTTGACTTGTTCCTTGGCCCTGGCAGGACCTTCTGCTTTGAAAGCAGACGACTGCCAAAGCATCTCCCTGAGGTATCCAATCACGTTTTAGGATGACATAGAAAACGGTGGCCAAAACAACAAATTATCCACCAATATTCATTCCTTTTTTCCCCCTTATTGTAGACACTCCTGATTTTAGCGGGGCATAAGGCTGAAGCGTGACTGAGTTTTATACTGTGGATTGTAAATAGAAGTCCTCTGTGAATTTCAGAAAAGATTTGGTTTTTTCTAATGGAGGCTGTATGTTCATCTCCTCCTTCCCTGCGGGTCCGGCTGCCTGATTAGCAGCTGTGGTGGCTGGAGCTTGAGCACGCACTTGAAGGGGACTATTCCCTGAGAATGGCAGAGGAGGGAGGAGGAGTCCAGGTTTGCCCTTCTGAATTATTCCAACCATTATTTTACTTTCTGGTACAGCTGACCCAAATCTAACTGGTACAGCTATTTGACTGGGATTTTGCTCCACACTACTGCAATAATATCACATAGTTTTGTTTGGTTCCCTGTGCATATAAGTTATGTTTACACTATACTGTAGTCTATCAAAGGAGCCAGGGTGGCACAGTGGGTTAAGAATTGGACTGCTGACTGCAAGGTTGTTCAAAGCCACCAGCAGATTTCTGGAAGAAAGAAAAGGTTGTCTGTGCCCGGTAAGATTTTCAGTCTCAGAATTCCTAGGGAACCATTCAGCTGTGCCCTTTGGGATCACTGTAAGCCGGAATCCACTTGACAGCAGTGGATTGGATTTGACTGTGTATTAAGTACCCAATTGCATTGTATGAAAAAGCTTGAAATAGTGCAAGAATTGCCAAAATGTGGCACACAGACACGAAGTGAGCACAGGCTGTTGGAAAAACGGCGTCAGTGGACATGCTCGATGCAGGACTGCCACAAACTCTTCATTGGGGAGGGGAGGGGAGCAATATAAGAGTAATGAGGCAAAGCGTAAGAAAGCAAGGTGTGCCCTTAAGCAGCACATACACTGGGTCTCATGGAAGTTCTGTTGCACTGACAAGAAAATCTGGAATCTGAGAATCTCACTGTTTTGGTTCCTGTGCCATTTCACCTCTCATCTCTGACTTTCCATCCCCCCCCCCCCATGACAATGTGGTACCCTCCCTCCCATGTTTCATCAAGGATCTGCCCTGATTTGTACCAGTGTGCTAGGAATTATGAGAGGCCACAGAATAAACATCTTCCTGGAGCACTGGAGCTCTTGGAAGGAACCGTAATTTTCATGTTAAAATGATGACTAGAATGCAGTATTCCTGTGCATTTTTTTAAATTACAAAATGAGATTATTGTAATTTTTGTGTTACTGTGTGCTGTCAAGTCATTCTTATAGAGTCTCAAGGTGACAGGGTAGATCTGCCTCATGGGGTTTCTTAGGGGGTGATCTTTACAGGAGATTCGTGGCAGCACAATGATAATAGCACTCGATTGGTAGCTGAAAGGTTGGCCTTCAAACCAATAGTCCATGAAGATTTACAGCCTTGGAAACCCTAGGGAGTAGTTTGCTTAGTCCTTTAGGAGCTCTAGTGCATATGTGTTGGTCTGCTTGCCACAAGGTCAGCAGTTTGAAACCACCAGCCAGCTCTGAGGGAGAAAGATGGGGCTTTCCACTTGCATAAAGAGTTAGTCTCAGAAACTCACAGGAGCAGTTCTACCCTCTCCTATAGGGTTCACTATGAATTAGGATAGTGATCAGTTGGAATGGACTCAGTGGAAATGGGTTTGTTTTGTTTTGTAATCTTTCCATAGAGCACCTGGTAGGTTTGAACTGCTGACCTTTCATTTAGCAGCCTAGTTCTTAACCATTACACCACCAGGGAGTTGAACTGTTGGAGACTGTTTCTTTGGATTCTCCCACTAAAGAGTTCCTTCTTTTCTGCCTCTCCCATGCCCTAGGGATCCATAGACAGAAATGTAAGAGACACTGCTTGATAAGAGTGGAGGGATCCCTGGCAGCTGAGTGAGAAAAGCTCATGGCTCACCAGCTAGAAAGGTAAGAGGTTTTAATCTTTCAATGCAGAAATATTCTTTTTATTTGATGATTGTCTTTCCAACATTTCTGATTTCTTCAGCAGTTGTTTCCTAAATATTAGCTTTCATAGTACTTCCTGGTGCTTAATTTTTTTTAACTCCGAGGCTCACTGAATTTGCAGATAGCTCTTTGGAGATAGAGTGTACAGCAGTATCAAAGCACATCAGGCACTGAGGATACAGTGTTGAGTTTTGTTTCACCCACAGACTCCTAACAACCTGACCAGGGAAATCTTTGTAGTAAAGGGTCCTAATATGAAGGCTCAGTACTCAAGTGTGACTACTATAAAAATAACAACAGTAGTAGTAACTCATGAGATAGTTTCTACATTTCAAAACTATTTTAGGTAGAAAATGTTACTCACTGTAAGGGTATCCAAGAAAAAAGTGAGCTTTATTTGCTTTTAGAGTAAATTATGTCAACCAAGTTTAGTAATAGTTGTCTTATGCTATCAGAACGATTAATGAGAAGTTATATTTTCATTCATACTTAACTTTATTACTATGTGCCACCCATAGTGTACTGATATTATGATGATGGTTTCCAACCTCAAGCGATTTACAGTTTTGAGAGGTAGCGTCCTCAAATGGAAAGGACATAATGACTTAAGATATGTGGTCTAGGTTACAAAATCTTTCACACCCTGATAATCAGTGGTCGACTTTGTAGCTATTAAGAGACTTAAGCAAATTGGCATATAATGTTGTACCTGTATCTGGAAGTTCCAATGAAAAAAGATATTATGTGCAAATACACTCTGATTTAGGCCAAAGAATGACAGATATTTTAAAATGTACAAATCTATTTGAGAAGAGTCCTGCGGGGCATGGCAGAGCACTGCAAAGATGGGACCGTCTGCTTCTGTAAAGACGGGCAGCCCTGGAAACCCTCTGGGGCAGTTCTGTTCTGCCCTACAGGGTCACTGTGCGTCGGAATCAGCACCACCTCTGGTGCTGCCAAGAGTTGTACGAGTTTTTGAGATTTTTTTTTCACTGACAAGGCATACGTATCTCCCCACAACCACCACCACTACCCTTTTCCTCCTTAGCAGGAGGCCGGTGGGTGGGCAGCAGACGGGTGGCGGGGTGCCTTGAGCCAGCCAGAAGACAACCAAAACCAGACTCCAGAAGGTTGAATGGGATTAAAGGGGAAGGGCACAGCACTCAAAGAAGGAAGCTGGAAGAAAATAGAGGAAAGAAGTAGGAAGCAAAAGGTATGGACATATGTAAATATATGTATGTATGTACATATGTAAATATCTAGGTCTGTATATATGTAAATATTATTAATTTATAATGAAAGGGATAGAGGCCAATGTACATATATTTATAGGTTAAGTATTATGATAGGCGATGGACTTTGGGCCTCTACTAAAGGCCTTCCTTAACACAAGAACACTTTGTTCTAATAACCTGGCACTCTTTGATACTCACCTTCTTGACACAATCGCTGAAGACAAAGATGGGTCTTTAAGCAAATGTGGTGAAGAAAGCTGATGGTGCCTGGCTATCAAAAGATGTAGTGTCTGGGTTCTGAAAGCCTTGAAGTTAAACAAGCAGCCATCTTTCAGGGAAGCAAATAAGCCCACATGGAAGCAGCACACCAGCCTGTGTGATCATGAGGTGCCAGTGGGATCAGGCATCAGGTATCAAAAGATCCAAAACAAACAATTGTATAGATGTGAAAGAGGAGGGTTGGTGTGGAGACCCATAGCCCATCTGTAGATGATCGGACATCCCTGAACAGAAGGGATGATTCAATCAGGGTACAGTATAGCACCAAGGAAACACATCATTCCTCTGGTTCCTGACCTGAATGCGTCCCCCCCACAGCTACCATGACGCAGTTCTACCTTACAAATCCTGCTAGACTGGAATACACACATTGGTACACATAAGAGCTCTTAAAACATGGAATTCAGGACAGATAAAACCTTCAGGAACGGTAGTGGGGATAGCGATATCACGAGGGTAGGGGATGGTGGGGACAGGGGGGTGGGGGAAGAGGGCCAAAGGGAGAACCCATCACAAGGTTGGATATGTAGCCCACCCCCCAGGGGGATGAATAACAGAAAGGTGGGTAAAGGGAGACAATGGACAGTGTAAGACATGAAATAACAATAATAATATATAACTGATAAGGGATTCTGTTAAGAGTATGTATTTTCAACTTGGATTATAAACAATATTATAGTTAATTTAAGAATTATGTCAAATAAAATTATAATTTGAAAAAAATAAAGAAGTCAGCCCTGTGTATTAAATGCCTGAGTTACAAGTGTAATAGCAGACTTTAGGATGATTGTGTGTCAGCTCTTGATACTTTTTCTTACACATTGATAACTGCATTAAATAATTTTGAGTAACTTAACCTAAATGTTCTGATTGCTTAAAGGTAGAGGTCAGACATGCCTCCACCCTCCAATCTTCCTCACTAATTCTGACACCAACTGCCCCTATTCACAGAGCGCTATACTTTTGTCCCAGAGTTTGATAATATATTGCAGTGGCTAAAGAGCTCACAGCCAACACTCAGGATTTATTAGGGAAGGTAACAGGTTATAATTCGTGTGAGAAATGCTCAGAGTACAATTGTTCAGTCAGGACAGTCTCTACTGTGCCACAGGAAGGTCTCTTTCTGGCCCTCAGCCGCTTGGCCTAGCCTCTACCCTGCTTGGGCAATGTTACAAAACGATTTTAGGGCTGACAATGACTGTTCAAAGACCTGCTACTCCACCATAACCCTCAGCCTGTGGATGTTCAGCTCCAACTCAGTGAGTCAGCTAACCCAGGTACCCCAATTAAGGACTGAGAGGCACCCACTCCACTAGCCAGCCTCCTGCACAAAGGCACTCAGCATTACTTGCTTTCTGGTCTGGGATGTCCACTGTTCTGGCTCCTGGTTCTGCTGGGGCTCCTCTGGTGTTAACAGCTATCTCCTGGATCAAGGAAGTTACGTGTTCAAGGACATCAGGTCCAAAGAACATGCTCCACTCCTGGCTCTCCTCTTTGATGGTAGTAAAATTACCCCTTCCTGTTTTATGCGTTGGCTGATTTTATACCCAGCAGATGGCAATCACAACCCTGTTAAGTCACCCACAGCTGAATCAGATAATTCAATCACTATCTTCCCACACCTCAGACCCATCAGGAAACCAAAGGTAACTTGGTGGGAGTAACAAAGCCTATGGCTAGAAGAGCCATATTAAATAATTCACTACATGGCAGATTAAAGGTTTTTCAATTGCCTTATAAGCACATGGGGGCTGGACAGTGAAGAAGGAAGGCCACAGAAGGATTGCCGCATTTGAATTCTAGTGTTGACAAAGAATGCTGCCAGTAGACCAGGCAAGCCTCTCTCAGATGAAGTACAGCCAGATGTTCCTCAGACGTGAGAATGGTGAGACTTCATCTCGGACTTTGAAGAAACCAGTCCCTGGAGTAGGCTATCGTGCTTGTTAGAGCAGAGAGCCCATGAACAAGAGGAAGACTTTTCCATGAGATGGATTGGCCCAGTGGCTGCAACCATGGGCTTAGTGAGTGTTGTGTTCTGGTGTACACAGGGTTGTCAGGCATCAGAGTCTGCTGGATAGCACCTAACAGCTTTTCCATAAAATGTACCTTCTATGAGAGCAGGGACTGTGTCTACATCTTAGTACTTCAGAACCTACCACGATTGCTGCCCTGTTGCATATGTTCAAGAAATCTTTCTTGGCTAAGTAAATGAGTCATTCAAGTGTCAGGGCAGGTGGGTCAGGAAATGAGGAGAATCTGTGATAAGAGGTGCTCAGAAAGGGATGGATGATTGGGAAAGGTGCATACATAGCCAGAGATCAGAAATCTAAGGCTAGCAGAGAGCCAGGCCATACAAGGGCCTGGAGACAATGCTAGGGATTTGAGGCCTTTATCTTAAAAGCATTTTTTCATAACGGAAATTTCCATTGATACTTCTTTGTGCTCTCTCCTGAGCTATTGCAGTAGTTTTAACCGGCTTTCCTACAGGTAGTGGTGCCCTCTCCCTCCATCCTCCACACTTAGAGTGAGCATAGAAGAAATACTCCTTTTAGTATCTCATTCACTTGCTTATAGTCTTTCCATTTCTTCAAACAGGAATGGGCGAACTTTTCCTTTACAAGGCCAGATATTTTAGATTTTGTAGAGGTGACATTTAGTGCCTGCCACATACATATTCTCCTTTGTTTCATTTTCCCCAATGCTTCAAACATGTGAAGTCTTAACTCAGGATGCTGTCCAGTTTTGCCCAGGGCCATGGTTTGCCTGCCCCTATCTCATAGCTTCAGTAGCTGCAGGGATGGGGTGGAGCATGGGGATAGGAATCCAAACTCTACCACCCTTCAAGATTTGTTTAGCTCTCTGGCTTCACTGCTTTTAATCTTGTATATCACACTTCAGCCACCAGAAGATATTAGAGATCTCTCAATATGCTCTGCTCTAATCTACCTCTATGTACTCTTTCCTCTGTAATCTCTCTCCCCTGATTGCCTGATGCCTCTTCCTTTGAGAAGATTTAGCTCAGGCTTTACTTTCTTCAAGTTACCTTCCCAAGCTTTCCTTAATGTTCATTGGGGACTTGTCTAAGTTAGGGATAGAAACTTAGTCAGATCAATTCAAGGTAAAAAAGAGTTCAGACTAAGGATCCAGGAACTTTCATAGAACCCAATCACAGAAAGCATAATTGGATATCACAGAAACTGCTTTCCCCCTTCTTAGCTGCATAGCATCTCAGCTATATTTTTCTCCGCCTACTCTATTCTGGCTTTCACTAATTCCTTGTCAGTATAAACAAAACAGAAAATGATCTTGCGTGTGATTTTTAATTTCTGGTGGCCACTTCTGTTTGTCAAATTCTTTTTTGAAATTTCCTGAATAGATGTCCTGATTGGCTGAACTTGGTCAGGAGTCTCCCCTGGTTCATCTAATTGGAGTATGGATTCTTAGAAAGGATGATCAGCTCCAGTATACTCCTTATCCCCTATGTTGCCATAACACTCAAGTATTGTTATTGTGCTATATATCATGGAATTATTATTTATGATTTTTTAAAAATGTGTTCATCTTCCTTACTAGTCTGATTCTGAGAGTGTGGTCCATATCTCTTCTCCTGTTCTTAAGATGGTGTTGTGTACAAAATAAGCAAACTTTTTTCTAGTTACATTTTATAAAATAAATCACTTATATTGGAAATGTTTGGGAATAATGTTCTTTCTGTGTGGCATTTATCATTATCCTTACTTTAGAAATTTACTTTTATATTTGAATACCTGCTTTTAAAATTAAGAGGTTATAAATTTTATAGTTTTATAACCAACTAGCTAGAGGGTTAATCGAATGCTTACTTTATAATAGAGAGTCTTTGAAGTTAGTCATCAAACATTATTGGCACAGTGAAGAGAAAAGCATCAGAGAAAAGACTATGAACACCCAGTTTTGGAGGGGTGTGGGGGACAGTGGGAGCCCAATACCCATTTGTAATATATCTAATCAGACTGAGCCACTGGCAGATCCAAACTAGCCACAGGCAAGAGTCTTCAAACAGCCGTACTGTCAGTCAGAGAGCATTGTAATCTTGATGATGCTGGGTGGAACTTGACACTTAGCCAGTTGACCGACCTATACATGCAACCTGAATTGTTCTGGGCACAAGTAACTCTTCCTGGTTTCATGACAGAGTTTTCTTCCCTGGCTTTTGAGTGTTGTTGTTGGGGGTCCTTTCCTTCTTATGCATTCATTTGTATTTTTGTCTGTATACTATTAGGTTTTTATCCTTACCACCTTAGTGCAATTTTGTTTTTTTTTGTTTTCTGTTGGGTATCCCAGCTGTGAAGCACAGGAGGACTGGGTGCATAATAATACTAACTGATACAGGGGCACATAAGAAATACAGGATTGGGGAGTAGATGATAGGGAGGAAAGGGGATTTCAGAGTAACTAATGAAGACAGGAGAGGGAGGGAGTCTTAGAATGGATTGTGATTGCATAACTCATCTTAAAGGTGATTCAACCCATGGGGTGGCACATTGGGGGTTGGAGAAATGGAATGGTCTAAAATTGATGTGGGTTGATTATACAATTCTCCTTGCTATGATTGAACTATTGAATTAAATGTAAATTATTTGCCAATTAAACAGTTGGGAGGGGAAATTGATTCACTTTCTTCCCTTTTTTATCTGGGAACGTTTTTATTTTTATACACATGACAAGATTTTACACCAAGAATAGTCAGTTAAATAGTACAAATTTACATTCATGAGGAATGTTAAAAAAAATTTTAACTAAAAAAACCCACTTCTTCCTGTGACCCATAATCCCAACAGTTTACAGTGCAGGGGAGAAGGGGGCGGGAGGAGCATCCAAAACAAGTCTCTCCCAAACGAAATGACTGAAACTTCACATTCTCTCTCCACTCAGAATCCTGGCGGTGAAGAGTCTTGTTTACAATTCATCTCTTTCAGATAGCTTTCCTGTTTCTTGTTCCTCTTCGTCCATTTCTTCATCATCGTCTTGCTCCGTCTTCCGTTGTGTCGTCTGTTGCATCTTCAGGCTCTTCTTCGGTTCTTCCTCCACCTTTGCCTCGGGGTCAATGTTGAGACTGAGGCGAAGCATTCTTTCTATCCTCTCTCCATAGGCTTTCGTGTCTGGTGAGAGATACCCCGACTGTAGTGTAGCCGTTTCGTACAAAACCACAGCAGGGTCGGACACCGTCTGGTCATTTTCGTCTTCCTGCACCCGCCGGAGCAGGGTTCTGATCAGTGGGTGTCTGGGGTTAATTTCCAGTGTTTTCTTCTGGCTGGCATAATAATTGGTCGAGATGTCCTTGCCCGTCTGGTAGGCCTGGGCCTTCATGATCCTCTCCATGTTGCCGGACCAGCCGTACTGGCTGGCCACGAGAGCACACGGAGACTCGGTCAGGCGCTGAGACACTACGGCCTTCTCAATCTTGTCCTTGAGGGCTTTGTCTTTCATCCAGGTCAGCAGTGGCTCAAATTCTTTCTCTACTGCTTCACGATTCTCCTTCGTCTTTTCACTTTTCGTCAAACTTGATTCCTTCCTTGGCCACATTCTGGAATCTCTTCCCATCAAACTCGGGGAGGGCCTGAATGCAGTACTCGTCCAGGGGTTCTGTGAGATAAATCACTTCATAGCCTTTCTTCAGAAGTCGCTCGACGAACGGAGAGGATTCAGCCTCTTTCCGGCTGGAGCCAGCCATGAAGTAGATTTTGTCCTGCTTCTCCTTCATCCTTTCCACATACTGGTCTAGACTGGTAATGTCGCTTTCATGATGAGAGGACTGGAATCGAAGAAGTTTGGCAAGATGTGTTCGATTGGAGTGGTCTTCAATCACACCCAGCTTGATGTTGGTGCCAAATTCTTTCCAGAAAGTATCATTGTATTTCTCATCAGCAATCTTCTTGATCATATCCAGAGTTTTACGGATTACTTTTAGCAGCTTATGCTGCTGAAGGGTCTCACGGGAAACATTCAATGGGAGGTTATCAGAGTCCACCACACCCTTGACAAAGTTAAGGTACTTGGGCATCATGTCATGGAAGTCGTCGTGATGAACACTCGGCGCACGGACAGCTTAATGTAGTCACTTTTCTTGGATCCGTACTCGTCAAACAGACCCCGTGGAGCAGAAGTGGGCACGAACAAGATGGATTTGAAGGTAACCTCCCCTTCAGCCGTGAAGTGGATATAGGCCATCGGGCCATCACTTTCCTTTGAAAATGACTTGTAGAAAGCTTTGTATTCATCCTCCTCTACTTTTGAGGGTCTCTGCCATATTGGTTTGATATCATTCATAAGTTCCCAATCCCAGTTTTTTCTCTTCCCTCTTTTTTAAGGACTTATTTACCTATTTTCTGTAATGCCTTTCGGTTTTCTTTCTATCTTTGATAGAGATGAAGGAAAGCAGTTGTTTTTATCAGTTGCATATGGATGATAGAATTGAAAATTAACGTTGGAATATGATACTACACGCTTAAAATAATCTGGTTTGCTTAGCAGATTTATTTCTTTATTTTATTATTTATAAAATCATTTTATTGGGAGCTCATTCAACTTTTATTTTTAAAGATCATTTTATTGGGGGCTCTTACAACTCTTGTTACAATCCATACATCAGTTGTATCCAACATATTAGTACATATATTCCATCATTGTTTTCTAGACATTTACTTTCCATTGAGCCCTGCTATCATTTTACTGGGGGTTCTTACAACTCTTGTTACAATCCATACATCAATTGTATCCGACATATTAGTACATATATTCCATTGTTGTTTTCTAGA